TTGGCTCACTGCAACCTCCACCTCCTGGGTTCAAGCGATTCTCCTCCCTCAGTCTCCCAAGTAGCTGGGACTACAAGCGCCTGCCAACATGTCCGGCTAATTTTTGTATTTTTCTAGTAGAGATGGAGTTTCACCATATTGGCCAAGATGGGCTCGAACTCCCGACCTCATGATCCACCCGCCTCTGCCTCCCAAAGTGCTAGGATTACAGGCATGAGCCACCGCACCTGACCTAATTTTTGTTTTTTTTTAAGGTGTGGTCTCATTATCTTGCCCAGGCTGGTTTCAAACTCCTGGGTTCCAATGATCTGCCCGCCTCAGCCTTTCCAAAGTGTTGGAATGACAGGCATGAGCCACCGTGCCCAGTCTTGGGAATATTTTTATTAAGTAGGGAGAAAAGGAATAAAGGAAACCAGACCTAGAGACCTGCGTAAACAGAAACAGGAGAGAACGAATGCGCTGTGTTCAGGGTTCACAGGCGGTGCCTGGGTGGGAGGGCTGAGTTTTCAGGGGCTAGAGCAGGAGTGGAGGCAGGGAGGGGAAGGGCAGGAGCTCTTGGAGGGCTGTGGGCATGCGCTTTGAGGAGCCTGGACTGCATTCACACTGGGAAATCACTGCAGGCTTTGGAGGAAAGGGAGATGGCAAGGTCAGCCCTGTGTTCTGAGAGTGTCACTTTGGGGACAGGGTGACAAGTGGCAGGAGTGAGGTTGGAGGCTGGAGAAGATAGTACCCACCACGATGGTCTGGAAAAGAGCTGAGTGGTGCTGCCACGGAGCCACAGCAGCAGAGGGGACAAGTGCAGAATGTGCCACTGAGGCAGGGACAGGATTTCGCCCACAAGGCCAAGTCAGGAGTTGAAGGAGAGCGTGATGATGTGAGTCCTGAGACAGGTGGAAAGCCAGAGGAACTCGTGGGATTGGAGCAAGAGAGAGGAGCCCACCGCTCTCACTGGCACCCATGCTGCCGGGCAGGGTCAGCCACAGGTGGAAATTCAGGTCTTGGAAGCTGAGGATCAGGAGACTCTTGCTAGATGCGGTAATTGAAGCCCAAAGGTTTAACAAGATGGTCCACAAAAATGTGTAAAAGAAAACGAACCCTTGGGACTCTCAACATCTAAGAGATCTGCAGGTGGGTGGGGGATTTGGAGAACAGCCAAACAAAGCACTGAAAGAGCGGCAGAGAGGCCGTGAGGACGCGCTGGGAGAAGGCGCCGTGCTAACAAGGAAAAAGCACATCTCAGAGACAGCAGAGAAACTGTCTCAAAGGCTGCCAGTCCAGGAGATTTTTCCTTTATTATTTGAGATGGAGTTTCACTCGTTGCCCAGGCTGGAGTACAATGGCACAATCTCGTCTCACTGCAACCTCTGGCTCCTGGGTTCAAGAAGTGATGCTCCTTCCTCAGTCTCCCGAGTAGCTGGGATTACAGGCATGCGCCACCATGCCTGGCTAATTTTTTGTATTTTTAGTAGAGACAGAATTTCTCTGTGTTGACCAGGCCTGTTTTGAACTCCCGACCTCGGGTTATCCGCCCCACCTCAGCCTCCCAAAGTGATGGGATTACAGGTGTCAGCCACCGCACCTGGCCAGTCCAGGAAATTTAAACAGAAAAGCAGATTTTAGATTTGGCAATTAAGAGAGAAGGGAGAGATCGAAGTGGGTTGAAGAAGAAGGGGGATTAAGAAGCAACAGAACAAGTATAGACATTTTCATATATAAAGTTCACAAGGGCCAGGCGCGGTGGCTCACGCCTGTAATCCCAGCACTTTGGGAGGCCGAGGCGGGTGGATCACGAGGTCAAGAGATCGAGACCATCCCGGTCAACATGGTGAAACACCGTCTCTACTAAAAATACAAAAAATTAGCTGGGCATGGTGGCGCATGCCTGTAATCCCAGCGACTCAGGAGGCTGGGGCAGGAGAATTGCCTGAACCCAGGAGGTGGAGGTTGCGGTGAGCCGAGATCGCGCCATTGCACTCCAGACTGGCTAACAAGAGCGAAACTCCGTCTCAAATAATAATAATAATAATAAATTTCACAAAAGGAAAAAAAATGCTAGTTTGGAGAGAGGCAAGAGCAAATCAAGACTTCTTGTCTGAGTCAAGTGCCAAGTCCCCAACGGGATGGCAGGGTGGAGAAGGGAGGTGGAAGAGGAGATGGTAGCTCACTTCCTGTTAGAATGAGGCCGGGGAGGTGGGAAGGAAGAGGGTGGGACGCACAGGAAGAGGGGCTCATATTGGAAAGGGCTGGAAGCATCTCTCTGAGCCAAGGGAGAAAAAGATGAAAGATGGAGTAACTTTGAGGTGGATTTGCAAGAAGACAAAGGGTTTGATTTCACTAATGCAGGTGATAAACTCATCTGCTGGGAGAGTGAAGCAGAGATCGGGGGTATCTGAGGGAAAGTGGAAGGGATCAGAAGAACACTTGCTAAAGAAAATGGACAAGTTGGGCTGGGCATGGTGGCTCATGCCTGTAATCCCAGCACTTTGGGAGGCAGAGGCAGATGGATCATGAGGTCAGGAGTTTGAGACCAGCCTGGCCAACATGGAGAAACCCGGTCTTTACTGAAAATACAAAATTAGCCAGACATGGTGGCGCATGCCTGTAATCCCAGCTACTCAGAGTCTGAGGAAGGAGAATCACTTGAACCCAGGAGGCAGAGCTTGCGGTAAACCGAGATCACACCATTGCACTCCAGATAGGGCAACAAGAGTGAAACTTTGCCTCAAAAAAA